ATCGTTTCTGTTGACTAAAGTACCGACAAATTAGTATCCTGGATGTCTTGGATAATCTCCGTTTTCGAAGTCTCAAGCTTCGAAAACCGAGCTTGTGGATTAAGCAAATGAGAATGTCTGTCAAAGTTACTTACCGATAAGCTCGGATGGTGCCGATTCCTCCAAGAGATTCCTGGAAATGGGCATATATTGGACTTCGGCTGACACTATCCAAGCGCTTCAACTCACGGGAAGTACGGAGATAATAACGCTGCACCCAGTAATACACGCCTGCCAGCGGGAATATGAAGGCAATAAATGGGGGGTTTGCTACAGAAATGACGACTAGGGTAAACAATGCCCGAGCTGTGTTGACGAATAGCATGTTGAAAGTCCTCGCAAGTACCTAACACGGGTTAGAACATGTCAGAATGTACGGTTGTACTTTATAGTTACCTCATCTATCCGATAAACATCACTAAATATGACCTTGTTAGCTTGTATTCTTGGTAGATCCGATCTCGGGTACGAATGCAACACAGCATTCAAACAAACACAGAAAGCTAGGATATGGATAGAATCATATGTGCACCATTCTGAACAAAGCGGGATGATAAGGCAACTATCAGACTCAAGGAGTACAGTAAATCTTTTTTAAGAGGGTGCCGATAAATTGTGCCAATCGGAAATATTCTGCTACCAAGAAAAATAAAAAATAAAACGGTCGTCTACAACATACCTCGAAAAGCGATTAAGAATGCGGCCAGCGGGAGTGGTTTCAAAGAAGGACATCGGAGATCGGAAGATGGCAAAGGCCATACGCTCGTGAAGTTTCCTAGATGCCTGAAAGGTGTCAGATTGGCCTTCGCGGCTAGTTTTTCATGATGCGAGAACCCGCTTCCTGGTCGGGCAACCTTACCTCGATAGAACAAAATATCCACAAGATCAAGGTTTGGACAACCACGAGAGCGGCAGATCCAATACCAAAGGCAAAGTACACACCGATGTACTTGCCGACATCTCGATTAACGCCAAGCTTGTCATTGGCCTCAGCCCAGCTTTTGAGCCATACACTGCCACCTATGAAACATTAGTAAAAGAGATCTGCCAGCAAAAGGAAAGAAGTAAACCTACTGATCTGTGCCGTTTGAGCACCAACCAACATAGTCAAATAGATCAAGACGGCAGCAAGATTGCTAGTCTTAGCATATTCAGAGTACACTAATCAAAGTTAGTATTGATGCTGTGATTATGAATTTGTATATGCCTACCATCCCATTTTACTTTTCCTTGTTCAGAATGTTCCTTGCCCTGCTTAGATTTCGAACCATCTTCTTCATCGCGTAGTTTGCCTCTTGGACCTCTGAAAGTTGCTGTACTGGCACGTCTTAAGGTATTAGAGCTACCCTTCCTCTTCTTAACACCTGATCCTCCAGGTCGAATAGGCTGAAGTTGTGTCAAATGTTCTTGAGCTTCTTCAGCTTCGTCTTTTTCTTCCTCTTCTCCAGGCTGCTCAAAGTCAAGTATTGTTGAAGAATCGCTAGTTTCAGTGGTTTCAGAATCTGTGGACACATCCTTGTTTTCGGAAGTGTTAATCAGATTTGCAATTTCTCCTCTTCTAGCAATGGCCTGATCATATGTACCACGCTCGATGATTTTAGTATCTCGAAGCAAGCAGATGAGGTTGGCTTCTTTGAGAACGGGAATAGAATTTGTGGCAAGAACTCTAGTCTTTCCACTGAGTAATCCGGTTGAACCAAAGACATTATCAATCAAATGTCTACCGACATGTTGATCAACGGCGGATAAACAATCGTCCAATAGATATACATCAGCTCTAGCGTAGACTGCCCTTGCCAAAGTCAATCGTGCTTTTTGACCTCCACTCAAGGATATACCACGCTCTCCGACCTCAGTTTCATCACCATCTGGCAATTGAGCAAAATCCTCCGAAAGTGCACAGGCCTTGACAGTTTTATCGTAAAAGGTAGGATCAAAACGGTGACCGAATAGGATATTTTCCTTGACGCTAGCGTTCATAACCCATGGCTGTTGCGCTACGTAAGCTGTTTTTCCATGAACGACTACCTGTCCCTTAACTTTCCAAAGATCACCGAGAAGTGCTTGTAAGAAAGATGACTTTCCTGCTCCGACTCGACCAACGATACAAGTAAGTTCTCCTTTATGTGCAGAGAAATGAATATCTTGTAGGACGTTGCGGTCAGAGTGTCTGTCCCAAGAAAAGGTCGCATCTCTGATGGTCAAAGATTCTTCGCCGTCATCCTCGATAGGACCCTTCAGAATTACCGCGTCGGACTGTAACTCTTCAGCTGTGAAGAACGATGTTAAACGCTTGACAGCAACTGAAGCCTCAATGATGGAGGTAATAACCATTGGAAGAATTGCCAATGGGAATGTTAATAAGTTGAGTAAGGTTAAAGTAGGGAACACAATATCAGTGGTTAGTGGACTGTTGGTAGTCAACACAAAAACAGCAAATGTCGAACAAGATACCAAAAATGGTGTGGTAGACCAAGTGAAATTGGCAACTGATTGGGCAGCACCAATCTTTCGTAGAGTTTTAAGTTCCTGGTCATTTCTGACGAAATTCAACTTGGCCATGAAAGCAGAGCTCCAGGCATAAAGCTTGATACTCTTCATATTGTTGATAATTTCCGCGATCAATCTCGTTCGAGAATCCTTATTCTTCATCTGCTCCTGCTGTAACTTTTTCATTAGGCGAGCGATGAGGCCATTGATTGGAATCATTAGAACCATAGCAGCGACACCAGCCAACATTGATAACCCGACTAACTGATATAAAGACACCATGCAGAGAATGATTTGATACGGAGCAGACCATAATTGTTGACCGTATTGAGTAAGATCTTGTAGTCTTTGAGTGTCAACAGCCATGTAGTTGACAATATCTCCAGTAGACTTGCTAGCTCTTCCCTCATTCGATAATTTAAGTGATTTTCCGTAGATTGCTGCCGTCAAGGCGGTCTTTATACGCATACCAGTTTCAAAGGCTCTCTGAAAGTATTGATGCAAAGCCATGGTTTGTGCTACGGAAACAGAAAACATACCCAAGGCTATGGCTGCTCCTCGAATTACAGGTTGTGGTTCATCGGTCGTACGTGACTTGACCCATTTGATCAATAGCTTTAGAAGTTGCGGTTGTATGAAGGCAAGCGAATCGCTGACAGTCTTGAAAAGAGCGCCACGGAAGTATGGCCCACTGAAAGATCTGAAGATAGCCATCCAAAGAGATGGGGTTTTCTTATGTTCGATTTCATAATCCCAGGCCTCCTGGAACGTCTCGCTACATGACTTGGTGGTATCCCTTTTAGCCAGGTTCCATAGATCATCCTCTGTGAGATATTTCTTGTAACCTTGTTTCATCATAGGGGTCATCCAACCAAATGTGAGGATCGAAAATACAGTAGCATATTCGAGAGGGCATTCATCTTCATCTTCCAATGCCGAATATACGCTCTGCTTCTTTGGCACAAGCCATTCCAAGCCAAATTCAATTAACGATAGCCCGAATCCCACACAGTATGCGATGAAGTATGGAAGATGCTCGTGGTAGATTTGTTGAGATATCAACGATCGGAGCTTGACTGCGTATGCGATGTTGAGAAGGAGCCAGTAAAAGAGTACAACGCCGTTAGGATTGCGTAGTCGGGTATGCTCGAGCCATTGAATGGTAAAGATAAAACCAAGAGATGCGATTTGTATAAGACTGGTCCAGAATCTAAAATCACCTGCCCACACATCGGGATAGTTAAGTATCTGTATAACGAGTTGTACTGCGACTGAGGTTGCGATTCCTATTATGATGGCCTATTGAACATTGAATAAGCATTTTTCCATCAATTTCGTTTCTTTCAATCACTAGTGAGGACTATACCTGCTTAAGCCAAAAATGCCAGTCTTTCCTTACTTCCGCCGTAGTCTTCCTTCTTACGAGCCACCATATAGCGATAGCACCGCCTAAGATTCCAAAGGCCGCCACAGAGCTCACCCACACATCCATAAAACACGGTGTAAAGTCATAACGATGAGGACTCAATGGACCCCATCCCTCCTTGTTACCGCATAACGGTTGAGATCTCGATTTATCCGCCGTGAGATATCCACTACCAAGCTGCTCCTGCAATGCGCGAAAGCCAGAGAAGGAGCCTGTCTTGAGGATGCTCTGCGATGAGCTAACGACCATGACCGATATGTGATACTTTGTGTACTGAATCCCTCCTTCGATAGACGATAGAGGTTTTCAGAACTGGTGATATGGGAGTATGGAAGGATAGTTCATTCGTTCTGTAACACAATGACAGAATAAATGATGGAAGTGGCAGAGGTTTGGACGGTTTTTGTCTGATGGGGTACGAGTTTACAGTACGGGACCGATCAAAATTGTACTAATTATTTAGTAGATAGGTACGGATTTAAGCTATGACGGGTGCGTTCCGATTTCCTTAACCTTGACCATAATTATTTATTAACCTTACAAAGCAATACGAACAGAAAGAAAAAGAAAATCTGCGAAATAATGGCACAGAACAGAAGGATTTTACGCGTCAATGTAATGAATCCTCTCCATCTCTTTCTTTCTTATATTCGTATGATTCAACAAGTACTTGGTAGTTGAGCATTTTAGATGTTCTACGTAAAGGTAGGTAGTCGGTATCTGTGAGCCGCTCCCTATTTGTTATGAGGAGTCGGGAACTACCTACCTACCTAGTAGCTATCTAGCTATTTAGCTACTTAAGTAGACGTCATTGGATCTTATATCTGAGCCTATCATGTAGAATCTATCTCAGTACATCGTAAGACAGATACACAAAATTGCTACTATCTATGAACACCGCTCCCGGTGAATCCGTGTGTCTATATTCATAATAGAAGTGATAGGGGACCTAGATATCCATACTCGGCTTGTTCATGCTGTCCGATTAATGCAAATCACAAATTATCAAGAGCTTCAATCAAAAATCTAGAAACTCTCCTGCATGCATGCATATCGCCATCTCGATCTCCATAGATAAGTAAAGATGTCAAGTACTGTAGTGGGGCAAAATTATGTACCTCAAAAACTGAATAGCTTTCTATCTGCAGAATGCCGCATTTCGAGATAAAATGAAAATTTGAATTTGGTTGTCGAACAAGAAGCTAGATAGGAAAAATCATCTCAAACGCCATAGGTAAAAGAGTAAGGGGGAAAATGTGATTCCCGAATTTTCCATTCGAGATCATTCCTCCAACCGGTCCCGCATGAAAACAAGAGGGATCATAAAAGCAAAGCTACCTAACCATCTCCAAAATCCCTACTTCTCCCAAAGAAACAATGAAAAGTGATAAGTTGATACACAAAGGCTCGAAAACATTGTCTTTAAAGGGTATCATCTTATCGCATTGGGACCAACAATGTAGGAGAAGACCGCCCAATATTCTCAAGACTCCGTCATCATCTAATTATCGGAAGCACCAGCATCTTCCTTTTTGGGTGCCAAACCAGCACTTTGACATGTCTTCTTCCACGTCTCAACTTCACGCCATGCTCTCTCACATTCTGTCTTCAACTTATCATTGCTAGCACTGAGTTCCGCAATGGCTTGTTCAGTGAGAAGCTTCTCAAGTGTCCATTTCTCAATGTTTTGAGTCTCATTCTCCTTGAGCTGGGTGATGAATTGAACAGCTCTTTGTAGGATAGATCCTTTGTTTTTCTCACATCCGGGTACAATCTTCGCTAACTCGTTGATACCTTCATTGATGGTTTCTCGGCGACGTCTCTCAACTAGAAAAGTGATCAATGTGAGAAATTTAAATATAGAACGCAGAGTAAGTTTACCTTCTTTGTGATTATCCTTTCGGACCTTATGCCATTCATCAGATCCTACAACAGGTTTTGAACCAGAACTTCGATTTTGAGATTGATGTTGCTGTTGCGAATTGTCCATGAAGCTATTGTCGGGCTGCTGGCTATTATCCATAAAAGATGAATCCTGGTGACGATCGTTCTCGGAGGCTTGAGAAGCAAAAGAGACATCTGTTGGTTGTGGAATTGTCATGGTTGGATAGATTCCAGCAAGTGCCGCAGCGGCAGTAGATGAGGCGTTTGCATGATCTGCGGCACCATTTTGATGGTCGGGATGAATTTGTTGATTGTGCTGAAGGTTGGCATAGTTTTGCAGGGCTTCTACATCACCGATCTGCTGATTGACCAACGATTGGTCACCGGAGTCATTGACAGAATTCGGGGAAACACGCTTGTTGTTAAGGCGCCTCGTGTCATCAGCTGATTCAGAGTCCCGCTTCCGCTTTTGTGCAGTGTTGCTCATGTTAGCATTCTCTTCCCGCATAGCATTTGCTACCTCCTGCAATCCTGAATGTTCAAGGTCCATGTCTGCCATTGCGATAATCTGATGTCCTCGTGACGAGCCTTGCACGGTGATTTGTGGGGGATGTGAGGAATTAACGATCGTAAGGCGCAGATGACCTCGAGGGGTTGGTAGATAGATTTAAGGCTGAACTTGATCTTTCGCGATTTAATGACGTGTCTACCGAGGTTGGCACAAGTGCAACGACCGTCTTCTTCTAGTGCAAAGGGGACGGCTGTTACGGAAGCAATGGAGACGTATCGGTGACTCGCTCTAATGCTTCGAGGCGCTCAGCTGCAGTAGTTCGTCGCCGTGATCTTCGAAACGAACGTTTCTGTGTCCTTCGACGTAGCACCTACAAGGTCAGCACGTGTCATTGCAGATAAAGTATCACATAGTAAATCAATCAGTCAAGAAATTCCTGATAACAAAATGAGATGTCAATTGGAACATTTGGGTGATGTGGTGATGTTGCGCTTTTCTCTTCGAAATGCTGCCACTCCGCGTTGATACATCATCCTAAATGAAATCAAGCATTTCGTTGGCAAGGAGCATAACAATTGCCATAATTAATTGTGGTACTCCTGTGCAAACAAGACTATTGTCATTTTGGGTGGACATCGCAGGTAGTGGTTCAGTTACAATATGATATTGTATGTTGATGCTGCTCTGCGAGATATGACCAAAATCATGGGAGGAGGCATTTTGTGTGTGTTGCGACCTGGTGATCTATGAAGTGCAAGATAATTTGGGCCAACGGTAATGTCCGAACAATCCTTGTTGCGTGGAATTGGAACGCTGCGAGGTTTCACGAAAGATAACCCTTTTCTCTTTGGTCTCTTAATCTTTTCTCTTGTTCTTTCATAAAAGTGCAGAGGCGCTCCTGACAAGTAACGGATTGATGCAACGGACAGGCACAGATTTGAAAATAAATTTGATCGATCTTTGGGGCCTTTTTTTTGGTGAGGGGGAGGGGAGTTTGTGGAACTTGATTATGAAATTTCACGCACCTTGTTTTTTTATTATGATCACCTAATGATCGGTTGGGTGGTTGTTATCTTTCTTTCCTCCCTTCCTTGCCCGAGGCTCTTGTGGGAACGCGACCAAATGTAAAATCTGGATGATGGAACTTTTTGATATTGTTAAATCACCAACCACTCGAATTATTGATGGGGAAAAAAGAGGCAAGATCTATGAAGTTATTAGTAGATGATTTTATGGATTAGAATTAACAGATCAATTTTAGATGATATCCTTTTGATTGAGGATAGGAAGGGGGGAGAATCGAAATACTCACCAAGGTCAGATGATGTTGTTAAACAACCATTCAATTGATCACGAGTGATCAAAACTGCAATGTCACGAAAACAAAGCTTGACGACCCTAACTAGGTATAAAGACCGAACTGAGACAAAAGAGACAACCCTCAGAATATTGAATGTAATGCGAAAAAACAGTGAGTTAAGTACTTCTTTTTGAGGAAGTTCTTGTGTTCTTGTTGATGGTTGATATGATACACGTGAAGAGAGGATCATGTGGGAAGGAAAAGAGCAGAGGCACTTTTACCGGGTGAAGAGATTATTGAGGGGCTTGCTGTAGAGCTAGGTGATAATGCGTTAGACCGGAACTGTATTCATGCCTTAAATAAGAGGCTTTCAATGCGCAAACAGTCGAGATCACACACTATCAAACTCTTTTCTCTATCACATGTCTGTGCAGCGCTGTCATGATTGGTCAGAGAGGCTAGGTACTTTATGAGGTCTTGACATTCACCTGTACTTCTACTCGTATTGTTTCTTCACAGACTCGCAGAGTATGTTCAATCCCGTCATGATTCTAGGTGGTGACACTTCACAAACTTGACTTTGAGATCACATTGATTGCGCATTCAATTTCAGTTTATATCGTGAGCGTTGGGGTACTTGATACCTAGCTGCTGCTAAGATCTTCCAAAATCAGAATCCTTCCCCAATAAATGGCGGCAATTTCACAGCCAATTTGCTGATTGGAAGATGGCAGTGGTAAGTTTGTAGTATGTATACCTACAGAGATAGGCAGGTATTCAGTGGTGGCCTTTCCAGATACACTCAAAGACAAAGTTGCTTTCAAATCCCCATTTCTACTCCACCGCCCAGTCCACAACCCTTTGATTGGTCACAAAGCCCTGAGTTATCGATTCAAGGTCACAACTTTCCTGTTTCCCCTCATAAAAGTCTAGCAGGCACATGAAAGGAAAGACGAAGCGGGAGAATAGAAGAAAGGGTAATGGGATAACAAAGTATGGTATAGATAACTCCGACAGTCAAAAGAGGTGGAGAACGAATCAAATTATCTTCGGGCTGGAAAGAAAGCAAGTTGCAAGGCAGGAAACCCTCCTAAGTATAGGAAGAAGGGGGTGAAGAAAAAGAGGATAACGATCAGTCGAAAGTGTCTATATTTTTATTGACAATCGTGTTGCAAAGGAGATACCTCAATAACTACCTAGTGTTCCGAAATCACGAGAGTAAAAGTCGGCTGGAGATGCGTACAGCTTGTATTTTCATGCTTTCGTGAAGAATCAAGAGGGACATACATCAAGATCACCCGAGGTTGTAGATCCCCAGACGTACTGGTGATCGGTAAAAACAACGCGGCATAGTTGAATGAGCAGATTCTTAATCAGGTTCCCTTTCGGATACGGTACTATAGATGTATCGCGAGAGAGGCGGGTTCATGCGATTGAATATGCCCTCACCCTCGGCAAGCTTCAGAAGTCTACACGCGGCATAACCATGGCATTTGAAGTTGAAGATTTAGGGACCGTTAAAAAGTACAAGGCTTTAAAAGAAGGAGCGGTAAATCCGTGAGGGACAGTTTGCGAGTCTAGAGAAAGATATAAGGGGAAGCGAAAGGAGCATGAGGGAGTTGGCAAAAAGGGGCCCAATACAAATTCTATTTATCGCGCGTTCAAGAAGCATACCTAGGTGTGGTTGAATGACTGTTAATGAACAGTATGCTTCATTTTTTTAGCACCGGACTTCGAGATACTCTCGTAATATGTTGCATTCTGATTATCAGCGATGGTTTTCGTAACACGCCAATTTCAAGTCAATATAACGCATCAAAATCACTAGAATCGAATCAGAAGTCTTCGAATCTTTAATCATGACATGGCGTGCATGTGACAACCAAAAGACGAAAGCCATGTGACCATGCTGATCTGATATCACATCTGGTCGTAAAAGCAACCGTAGTTATCGGTCCCAGACAATGGAGCTACAACGTCAATCTCACAATCTATATCGTACAGATTGGAATGATTGTAAGCTTGTGAGATAATTGCTACAACTCACTGCATTCTTATACAAATTTGTACAAGATTGGTTTTGAATCCGTATATTATATTATATCTTTGACAACTTGTGATTCACGAAAGAGCAATTCCTTCGCCAGTCTGAGTATTCATTGGCTTTGACATACTACTGCCACTGCCTCCGGGCACAATTCACACTCCTCTACTTTCTCTGATCATCTCTATAAAGCTCATCACTTTTTTTTTACTGTCGCACATTTGAACTTCTTTCAATATGGCTGATTTCATAACTACCAAGCTAAATCCCGAAACTCATCTAATCCTCGTAAGTCTACTTTCCCCTCTTCCCCTCCACGCATCTCTCAAGCTAATATTCTCATAGGACCAACCACTCCTTCGACTTCCCCTCGAACTCCTCAAGAAAAACTTCAAAGTGGTCCATTTCAATCTCGAAAAAGAATCTGCGAGCGTTAAAACTGCCTTGAAGGAAACCACTGACGCTTCCCTCAATGCCCATGCTTCTCCCGACGATGTTCTCAAAAACGTTGATTCTATGCTCACCCGCATGCGCGGTCTAAAACGCAAACTCCAATCATGTGCCGAAGAAGAAAAGAGGTTACAAATGCAATCTGCTGCGAGAATCAAACATATAAGTTCACTCTATGAGATAAAGAGATTAGAGGATGTGAAATATGAGGAATGGAGTCGGACACGGTTAGATCGGTTACTAGTTGATTATCTGTTAAGGAATGGATATAAAGAGAGTGCTAGTGCTCTTGCGCGGGAGAAGAATATCGAGGAGCTAGTAGATGTGGAGACTTTCGTTCAGATGAGTAGGATTAAAGACAGTCTCTGCAAAGGCAAAGTTACGGAGGCGTTGGCATGGTGTTCAGAAAATAAGAAAGAGTTGAGGAAGATGGAGGTAAGGATTCTAGGCACGTACTTTAGTACCTATACTGATATTTGGTACAGAGTAATCTCGAATTTATGCTTCGTTTCCAGCAATATGTCGAGTTGGTACGCACAAAAGATGAGGCGAAGTTGGTTGAGTCTATCGCACATGCGAAAAAGTATCTATTGCCATTCCGGGAAAGCTATCCTAAAGAAGTTCAACAAGCGTGTGGACTCCTAGCGTTTCCTCCCGATACTAAAGCTTCAGGTTACGGAGTATGTTGTCCCCTTTGTAATCTGCTCCACACCCCTAACAAAAGTCGCAGGAACTCTATAGTCCCACTCGTTGGACACACCTCGCCAATCTTTTTACGCAAACGCACAACGAACTCCTTAATCTTTCCTCTGTACCTCTCCTGCACATCGCTCTCTCTGCCGGTCTCTCTGCGCTTAAAACTCCCGCCTGTCATTCCTCACATACCTCCTCCATCTCTCCCACTTCCACAGCCACAACGACTACGTCCGTTTGTCCCATCTGCAGCATCGAGCTCAATGGATTGGCTAAAGACATGCCTTATGCACAGCACACTAAAAGTCACGTTGAAAATGATTTGGTGCTTTTGCCGAATGGCCATGTGTATGGTGAGCATCGATTACACGAGTATAGTCGAAAAGTGGGTTTGGAGGATGAAACCTATAAGGATTTGAGGACGGGAGAGGTTTTTGCAAAGGGCTTGGTTAAGAAAGTATTCATTTCGTGATGCGAGTGGTGGAGTAGTATTCTAGTGGTCTAATAGATGTGTGCTTTCCGGAGCTTTGTTGCATGGATTCGGAGTTAGGTATTCAAAGAATTGTACACACAAACAGAGTTTTATGGTCAGGCTAGGTAACATCATCATTTGTCTTCTGAGATGCTTTTTAAGGGGGGAGAAGCAAGTAAGGAATGAGGAGCGACCACCAACATGGAAAATATGTCATAAAGTCCATCCATATGCAGTAATCTTTGAGCAGGACCGGAAGTGTGGATGCGGTATTATAGGGAAAGGTATCTAGTAAAATCAATGGGAAAGAAAGGGGAGCTTTGGATGAGGACAAATGAAAAGGGTGAGGATCACAGAATCAGAATTATAGAGAGAATAAAAATGCTCGTTTACAGTATTGAGTACCTAGGTAGCTATATTTCAATATCATGGTCAGATCATCAATTCCACGCTTCACCACCTGCCGTAATATATGAATGTAGCTGGACAGGTATCTCATTAGACGGAAAAGCAAATCCGCACGTCGAAGTTCTCAAAGTTCTCAAAGCTCCAAAGTTCCGAAGTTCAATCATTCATCATTATCAGCACCTATGTACAAGTACCTATTAAATAATCCTCGGGTCTTCTTTCTCTGTTGCAACTAAACATACTCCTACCCTTTCTTTCTCCATCGTATTACCCATCACCAATCCTCATCAAACATAACATGATATTCATCACTCCTTTTTCTGTCTCCCTCACATTCCCTTCCTCTCTGCTCTTCTCTTATCCATCTTCCAATCCTACAGCAATCCCTAACAACATCACCAAAGCTTCCCTGGCGCAAGCCTTGATCTTGCAATCAATCAGTATATAAATGCATGCAACTCCCGTCTGTCTTCTCAACTGTGCGTTTTCATCCCAAGTCCAATGCTAACTCCAAACAAATCACTATTCTTCCCTTTCTTCCCCTCCTCTTTTTCTTTCTTTCCATCTCCTCTACAAAACATCCTCTTGTTCTCTTTCTCCTAAAACGCCTGTGTAAAAATGAAAAAGGGGGTATAAATTGCTTCTCTCCTCGTCCTCTATCTTCAATCCTCCGCTTCCTTTTCTTCTTCTTATGTATGTTACAGCTCCCATCGCTCAACACCACCTAAGAAACGGTCTCCATATGGTCACTCTTCTGACTTCTACTGGGTATTGTAGCTAGTAACTCATGTTCTGGTGGAGTTCCCGTGACATGTGTATTTTGCGATATGCCCGAATCTAAACGATCTGATTCGGGTATTGTGGCGGGATATGAAATTTCCGGATCTGGGACTTGGATATCAAGCTATTTGATGTACATCAGTAAGGACTTCTCCTACATAGAGGCGAGTCAAAACATGTCTACTAGGGGAAAACTCACATTCATATATCCCGTTCTCCTCAAACTCACAATTTTTGGAGCTGTCCCCGGTTCCTTTGCCCTCGACTCCATATCTCTATTCCATTCTTCCAACCACAGTTCCACACGATTCAACCGAGACTTCACACCCGTCCAACCCAAATCATCCCATACCCAACCCGTCACCAAGCCCATCAACCCATCGAAGATATTTCTCGCACCCCAAGGA